AACAACGGAAGTCGATCTCACCTCGGCGATCATTGAGCAACCGACGAGAGACACCGAAGAGACAGAAGAAACCCGGACGAGCGGCAAAATTCTAAGGCAGATACGGAAAATAGCTATGAGACTATAAAAACGTTAGGGCTATTTGCTGCAGGACCGAGGAATGACGTAGGATATCAGATCAATGCCGACTCATTGGCACTGATGACCGTCGCAGCTTGGCCAATAGAATTATACTCCGAGTATACGCTCGTTCCATGTCAATAGATGATCCCATTCATGCAAAATTCTTTACCTCTTCTCTCCTCTCCGCAGTTTGCTGTACGTCCTTGGGATGATTTTCCAAGCGACGGAGGGGGCCCCGGTTCTGACCGACCCATGCGGCGGTATCAGGGCTCGTCGAGGAACCCTGTTCCACGCGAAAACAGTGGACAAAAGGGACTTGGAGGAGCTACTGGTTCTTCTGACGGACATTGCGCAGGCAATGTCCGAAATAAATGAGAAAATGATGACCAGCGAAACGACGGAGATTGCCCACTTGTGGGACGGCCCAAGTGGAAGTCCTCGGCTCAGCTCGAGGCGGACGTCTCGGAGCTGAAGACCCGGCAGCGAAAAGCGCTAAAAAAAACAGAGACGATCGAGAAACCCCACAAAGTGTGGATGTACATTTTGAGTATGAAATCATTCCATGGGGTTCTTATTGAGCATCCCACAGACCAGCCCTCCCGAACCTATTTCTCTAAGTGTTTTGCTTTTTCAGAGTACATCCTGGCGACCGCGCAAGCGTTGATCGAGTATATCCTCGACTAGGCTCAATAATAATTGAATATTCTATACATAGAAAAACTTAAATCGACAATTAAAAAAATCGTTAAATGTCTGTCTTCCTTTCCGGGTACCCTATAGACTCGAAAACGGCTGAACCGATCGTCGTAGTTCGGGAGCGTGTTCTGTGAATCCCACCGGTGGTTATAGGGGGGAACGCTGGTGACGAATAAAATTTCGCAGAAAGAAGCCGAAGAGCCTACTTCTTATATATTCGGTTTATTCACACGACTTGTGTAGATATCGTTTGATTTGAAATACATAAGCATAAGAGAAATCATGCCGGACCAAAGACAAGAGTATGCGACTATCGTAATCAAATAGGAAGAGAGGCGTTGGCGCCGGTCACCACAAAGGAACGTCTGAAAAAACTTCGTCTGGTGCCGACGATTTACCCTTTGAACCGACCATCGCCCATTACTGGCGCTGTTTCGCACATCTCAAACTAAAGGTCTGAGCGAGCGACGCGAGCGTACGGCGGCTCGTCTACGCCGATGGGCGCTTAGGCTAGTCGGCTTTGATTTCAAGATTGAATACGCTTGGACTACCGACTTCGGGCACGCGGATGCCCTCTCGCGCTTGATCAACGATACTCGGAACGAAGCGAAGAACTGCGGCATGGAGGAGGTTATTGCTTCTCTCGAAACTGAAGAATCGGAGGTCCGGAGCTTGGTCAGCTTGGGGGAAGCCTTTACTCCAACGGGAAAAAGAATAAGAGCGGCTACGGAATCTGACCAGCTGTTGGTCTGCAGAGCTTGAACTTTGCCGACTCCTCCGAATTCGGAAGTTCGTCCCGATCCGAGACGTCGAAAACAGCCTCCACGGGCGGTCAGGTCCTAGAAAGATTACGCCATGTTATCCCATTTGCGTTGGCTGTGGGCCCCACAAACCGACTACAGTAAACGTTGCATGACTAGTTACTCCACGTGAACCAGAAAACTTCAAGGAAGACTTCTCATTTATACAGGGACGGACGACGATCATTATCCTTGCAGCTCCCCGCACAAGGATCCAACCCAGAACTCCGATTTGATAGCGAGCTGATGCAAATTTGTTATTCGAGAATTCGGCCGGGAGCGTCACGCATTGCTTAGGTATTTCTCATTGCTCAAAAAGTGAAACAGGTCGCGAGCGGCGTCGTGAAGGAGGAACATCAAGGTGCAGGGAATCTCGACGTGCATTGCACGTCGCGATCTCCCGAAGCGCCAGAGTCGGTCTCGACGTGCATTGCACGTCGCGATCTCCCGAAGCGCCTGAGTCGGTCCCGACCACTCGTCCGTCGGGCGTCCATCGCCTCTGGTTCTCGCTCAGGCCACTCTAGCGAGGCCACGAGGCGCTCGGGATCCAGTGAAAAGTGAGCCTCCTCCCCGCTCATCACCTCAAGGTATGACGTGGATGGTGCTAGTGAGCGACAGAAAGTATCGTGGAATGAGTTCACGGCTGGCGACAAAAACATAAATCAATCAGCGAACGGCTTGCTCTTCAGATCAGTGCCGACTTATGGCACTGATGACCGTCGCAGCTTGGCCAACAGAATTATACTCCGAGTATACGCTCGTTCCATGCCAATAGATGATCCCATGCATGCAAAATTTTCGAGCCTCTTCTCTCCTCTCCGCAGATTGCAATCATGCTTTTTTTCCTGTGGGCGATTCTCCATACAACGGAGGGGGCCGCTATCGAGGAATGCTGCCGCATCAGGCTCCATCGAAAAACAATGTTCGATGTGAAGAGCGTGCACGAAAGGCATACGGAGGAGCTTCTGGCTCTCCTGTCGGACATTGCGAGGGCAATGTCCGACATAAACGACATCGTGATGGAAATCGGAACGACCAAGATCGCCCACGCTTGTGGGGCGGCACAAGCGGAGGTCCTCAATCAGAACGCGGTGGTGGTCGCGGAGCTGGAAAACCGGGACAAAAACTCGCGAAAAATAGCGGAGTCCACCGAGAGACCGCGCACGATCGAGAAAAAGATTTTGGGTATGAAATCATTCCATGGGGTTCTTATTGAGCATCCCATAGACCAGCCCTCCCGACCCTATTCCTCTAAGTGTTGCTTTTTCAGAGTTCATCCTGAGTGTCGGCCAACTTTTCGTCGAGCGCTTCTATCGATAGGTTCGTGAACAATTAACCCGTAGTAATAAAAACGTAAGTTTGTCTGTCTGTGTTTCCGGGGTACCCCATAGACTCGGAAACGGCTGAACCGATCGTCGAGGGAATTCGGGAGCGTGTTCTGTGAATTCCACCGGTGGTTATGGGGGTCGGTTTCCCGATGCGATGAGTCCTTCTACCTCAAAAAATGATTTAAAAGGTCCACCCACGAAAATTCGAAAACCCATGAGAAAGTTGAAAAATCGGAAATTCGCGAATTTCTCTAACGCCTGGAACGATCGCCGTAGAAATTTAGAGCTGGGTTCCCAGGAGCTGTGGGAAGGTCATCGGCGAGTCGGTTTCCATATTCGAAGGATTCTTCTGCCTCAAAAAAAACTTTTAGATGGTCCAATCCTAGGGCACCGTCATCCCCGAGTGATTAGTCGAGTTTCGCTCGAATTTCGATTCACGTAGTTCGAATCGACGGTGGATGCTGCAGAAAACGCTTGACCGGTACCGTTTTCTGGCCGCTGGAACGGAAACACTTGACGGGAAGCAATCAAGTTGATCACTAGACGGGCGAAAGTCGCAATTCGAGCAATCCATCTCCACAACGAAGATGCATGACACGGGCAGACTACGTCTGCGTGAAAGGGGCCTGTTTGAAGTCCGCAAGAAACAGCGTCGCGACGCCAATGCTACCTTCGTGAACGACGCTTGACAACAATGAAGAATTACCGTGTTTGAATGGATGAATGACTATTCGGCTGACCAATCGCATGATTGGCGCGGTGCTTGCCTCACCGAGCTACCACTGTGTTTGTATATTGTTGGAGGGAAGTCCTAAACTGCAAGGTCCCCCGAGAGAGACACCGTTTTGTTCAATACTGATCGCTCGCTGAAGGCGGTCAGGAAACTTGCCAGGAGGTTCGAATTTCAGTCGACCAAGGTGAGCCTACTCGTTGATTCCGCGTGAAGATTGTTTGCATGGAGATCGCCGCTCGCTCGAGTGCCGGTTCAAAGCTGTCGAGATCGAGATAATAATTCAAGCGATACCGTCTTATGTTGGAGGTCCACCATCCCGGGACCTTGTTCGACATGGTGCGAATTCGAAGTCATGTTGGATTCAAATGTTTCATCGATTCATGCAACGATGTCAAGTTGGAGCTCCTGTCGTGACAGCTGTGAATAGATTCGGTCTACACAACAATGCGGAGCCGCTCTTGGTTTTAAATGCGTTTTCGGCTAGCAGGCCCCGACGCAGAGGCGCTTTCCTGAACCGTTGAGTGGACAGATCGGCTCGAGGCAGTCGCTGCGGGAGAGATATAAGCAGACTGGATACGAATGTCCTTCTTTTTCAGGAAAAGCGGGCCATGTCGCCACCA